ACAATCGAACTCTCGTCTCGCAGAATGTCGCGGCTTTTTAATTTGTTTTTTTGAAATATTATATTTATTAAGGGGCAATATTTAGTTTTACCAGAACCACATTGTATTAACGAGCATTAGAAATTTTTTTTTTTATGAAATATAGAAAGTCTCTTCTTGTTTGTGTTTGCATGTGAAATGTGTTCGTGTGTGATACAGGTTCGTGGTCTCCCTCTCTCTCCAGTAATTTACCAGCACGAGCTAATACCACAACAAAGTGTTCATTTCGATTTTACGGAGCGCTTACGTTTCAAGTCATGTCTTTAAACGTTTGCAATCAATTCAGTTCATTTTCTACAGGCAATAAACAACACCAACAGCATGAAACACAATTTAGTCTGACATGAATATTTGTTTAGATATGGCCGCTAATTTGTCCGGGCCCGCTTTTTCTGGGAGACACTGTAGACATGAAGCTGATATGAAGCATCTTAATACAGATGCAACATTTAATTCAATTTGGGATTACCGTTTTTGTGTGGTCATTGCTTGTTGGAAAACATGGGCGTAGATTCCCAGGGGGACGGGGAAGATAATGATCCCCTCCATTTTTTGACCGAGGGGATGGGCCACTGGATAAACCAAACAATTGACTATTTTGAGGTTATAGCTCGTAACTGTTCAACGGTCCAAATTTATCAGGCCCCTCAGTAGTTTGAAAAATGGAGAACAAACAGAACCAAAGCTTTGAATGCGCGCAAATTTACATGTACATTTTGTATCACGAACAGCGCCCCCTAGTGTCACCTGGTATCCCCCTTCTTTTCGAATGTCCACGGCCTGGTAATCCCCCCATTCGCTATCACGGATTGACTGGATGAAAATACGGTCGCTGGGAGGGATAAATTGAACTCCGCATATGCATTTGAACTTGAATGACTGAGGCACAGCCTCCTGCAAAAAACAAACAAACAAACAAACGAGAATTCGGAACATAGGCGTAAACCAGAAGAAACCAGAAAATGCTTAGAGGCTGGCTTAAAATAGTTAATGACGATTCGAAATAGAGATCATCATTGCAGGAATTTTACTAAAACCTTATCGCTGGATTGGAGGATTATGCCGACGGACTGGTGTTGGTGTAGTCTGTGGAATAATTTGAACTTGTGGTTGAATAACCCTTTCGTGATTAATAGGCCCAAACGTGGAAATTGTTTTTTTTTTTTAATGCGGAGCAAGCACTTCAATCAAATGCATCTAACTTCAAACTGTTAAAAGCAATGATCATTGATATTTAAATAAATGGACATGGGGAACTCGACGTATAAAAGCCATCTCGTGAATACGCGCCCTATCTTGATCCTACAAACGCTTTTTTGTTTAGAACGGGCTAACTTTGCTGATGAGGTAATTTTAGATGGTTATATAAAGTATGATTGCTTTGACCTTTGTTATTCAGGTGTAATTTCTTTGACCGTGGTGGGAAGGGTTCCAGCTGGGTTGCCCAAACGACTTGGAAATCGTCCAAAAATAGCAATCGATCTAACTGAATTCTAGAAGGTCACAAAGTGGTGGCAAGGGCGGCATAATACGTTAAAGCCGAAGTTGAAAAATCGACCAAAACAGTAGACCTACTGATAGAAATAAGAAACATTTTGAACACAATGTCATGCGAGGAAATACAGAAAGACAGGAACAAATCATTTGTTAAGGGAAGGGTTTCAATCAAGGTTTCAATGGTTATATCAGCCTGAAAATGCTGAGGGGAAAACACAATCATTATTGGAATAGGCCTATACGTAAGACAGTTTACCCATTCCTATTGTTGGAGAGCCCGTCACGTGGCCGGTTTTAAACGGTTTACAAAGGTCCTAAACACTTTTCCAGTGTCACATGAAATTTTGACTCCTTTGAAATCAGTTGCTTTTTACCGTTTCATTGGTTGAACGTTCACAATCCTCACGTAGGCATGTACAACATTTCTACGGAAGGGGAGGGGAAAGGCAACCGAATCGACCATGTGCCCTGTGACGTCATGCAGGGAACCGCCGGGCAACCCAAACATTTAAGCATCTTCTGCATGTTACAATTTGAAGATATATTAAACAGTATTATGTCAACACTTTTAACCCATTCATATTTCAAGAGATACACATGCAGTGCAAAGAGAACTGTTTGGTGCATGTTGGCACCGCGTGACCACACCATTCGTAAACAAATGTCACATCGTCTATCCGCTCCGTTCACAAGTACCCCCTCACCGGCAAAGAAAGTACAGTTGGGGGTGACCGACCGACGCCATCTTGCCTGACTGCAATTTTGCAGAGAAGCGGGGCCACTGCGTGAACATAGTACAAAGCCCCAGGTGGTGTACGTGCGTCACACATAAGGAACGGTGCGCGTCAACCAGCGAAGGTTGCCCTCTTTGTTGGCATTTTCAATGCTATCAAAAAGAAGGCGGTATTTTAAGGTGGGGCATTACAATGTTTTTCACATTTTTACAATTACTTCAAAACAACCATAATAATGTCAAATTTTGTTGGTATTCTCGATTATTATTTTTGGCAGGCATTCTTCAAAATCAATCTTGATGTGCGGACACGCAGTCGGAATACCGAACCGGCTTTTTAATAAACTACCCTTTGTCCCTTCCTGTGCCCATCCCTGCTCATTACATTTGACCTAGTTATGGACCTGAACTAAAATTGGTTTTCGAAATAAAATTCCAAACTTTGTCGTGCTCTACAGGGGAAAGGCACGGATAGGGGCGAGGTTGAGGGCAGGCTGAAATACCCGTATCTTTATACCACGCCTCTCAAGCACTCACTGACCCGTACCTTTTAATGGTTTGTGCTCTAAAATATTGTTTTTCTGTGTTGTTAAGGGCCGTAAATCATTACGACCCCATTCGCGGCACGGGCGGTCGATGTCGAGACAACGACTCAAGGTCAAGCGGAATTATCTATTGATTTTAGATAGAGGACAATTCAGGTATCCAACATAATGCTTTGACGCCGAGTTCCTGCTGATTTTTGTTCTGCTGATTTGTGTGTCACGGTGGGTTTGTTTTTTGCATTCAGTAGGGGACTTTAAACAATAGAGGACAAAAGGGTCCACAATTCCATAAGGTCCACAATTGATGATCGTGTACAAAACATGGGAGGTCTTCCTAAGTACTTACAAAAGAGGGACAATATGGGACCACGATTGAAGGCGTTTACACACTTATGTGTCCACACTAGGTTACCCCTCTCCGGAAATCAAGTTTAGAGGCAGTTTTGGATTAGGTTTCTCTGTTGCAAATGAAGAGGTACACTCAAGGAAATCCTGATAATACATTGGGTTGAAAGAGTGTCGGACTTGGGAGTAAAATGAGTTTTTCTCCGTTTTTTTTTTTAACTGCGCGAATGAAAAGGAATGTCCACAGTTTGTTAGGCAAATTAGGACCGAGTTATGAAGACTTTCTGCTGTCCCCACCGCATTTTCAATCCCACAAATACCTCGTACAGATGAGTGTATGTCCCCACAACTACGGAACAAGAATCACGTGTGTGTATGACAAGTAATTGTGCCAGCTGCTGGCAACTTAATGAAGAAAACTAAGTTTACAACTAATAACATATATAACTGTACCTTTTTAAAGAGGTTGTGGAATGCTCGAAGACATTTCCGTCATTTTCGGGTATATGTAGCATAAGGTGTGATGAAATAAAAACGACTATTGTTTCTGTCATAAAATGACAGAAACAATAGATTTAAAATAAATCCTTTAAATCCTTCAATGTCCATTCTGATTGTGGAGCGGAAACTAGTCTGCCCTACGGGGGAAAATAACTGGCGGTCAGCAAATAATTTGAAATGTTTACAGTAAAGCAAATGTACTTTTCTGGTGAAAATCGAAAATAGTTGCAAGTTGCATCTTATTCCATATTTCAGCATAATGTATATCGATTTCCGCACGTACTCCACGTAGTCTATACTTTAAGAGTTTGTGGAATGCTCGAAGACATTTCCGTCATTTTTGGGTATATGTAGCTTAAAGTGTGATGAAATAAAAACGACTATTGTTTCTGTCATGAAATGAGTACAAAAGGTTCGTTTGAGAGCTGTTTTTCAAGTCCTGTCATGCCTGTTTCGACCCAAACGTGCGATTTGTGTAAAAGTCGTCGTTGCGGTCAGCAAACAAAACACAGTAAATCGTGACGTAATAAACAGGACTCCCGATGCAGAGTAGCATTAACGAGTCCTGTTTATTACGTCACGATTTACTGTGTTTTTTTTGCTGCCCGCAACGACGACTTTTACAAAAATTGCACGTTCGGGTCGAAACAGGACCTGAAAAATAGCTCTCAAAAGTACCCTTTGTACTCATTTCATGACAGAAACAATATTCGTTTTTATTTCATCACACCTTATGCTTCATATACCCCAAAAATGACGGAAATGTCTTCGAGCATTCCACAACCTCTTTAAAGTATAGACTACGTGGAGTACGTGCGAAAATCGATATACATTATGCTGAAATATGGAGTAAGATGCAACTTGCAACTATTTTCGATTTTTACCAGAAAAGTACATTTGCTTTACTGTAAACATTTCAAATTATTTGCTGACCGCCAGTTATTTTCCCCCGTAGGACAGACTAGTTTCCGCTCCACAATCAGAATTGACATTGTAGGATTTAAAAGATTTAGGATTTAGGATTTGAGAACATGGGATTGAGAACCAGGCTACTGACACGGCGGATCTGTTTGTACGCGAAAGCAACACGGAATAAAAGTTGTAGACACCAACAATAGACAAAACATGTGTTCGTTAAGAAAACAAACCAGTTGAAAATTCGTCAGGGAAAATTACCGGCTTTGTTGAAGCAACACAGACAGAACATCTTTAATCAGCTATAAGCACGTACCATTCAGCCACTCTGACAAATGTGATCATGCTTTTTTTTAAACGCTTTTCCTAAAATGAAATATAGATGAGTTCTTCTGGTGGTATTGAATTTAATACTAACTACTTACCACGAATGGAATGCCGTTTGTGAAAAATTCCACGACCACCAAGGCGGATACCAGCAGGCAGATTTGCCGGTTTTGCGTCTCGCGTGACCCTTGAACTGCTGACGTCCTTTCACCGGTCTCGCTCTCGATGACGATCTCAGGAATCGGCTGTTTGAATTCCGGGGCTGGGGCGCCCTCAACCGTCTGCTTCTGGAAGGTGAGGTGGAGGAGGATGGTGGCCACACAGGCGGAGCTGACGACGAAGCTGCCCAGAATGATAACCACAATGCACAGCGCGTAGCCGTATCCGCCAATGTTGAGAATGACACTGCAGAGCGATGTCACACTGGGGTCATCCGGCCAGCCCAGGAGGGGGATGCAGCCGATGGACAGGCCAAAGATCCAAATGAAGGACACAGTGCGCATGCTCTGTTTGGCCGTGTTGTGTATCCGGTAGGAGCTGGGCCATTTGAGCGTCCAGACGCGGTCCATGGACAGGAAGCTGATCTGAAGCGAGTTGACGATCGTGAAGCTCATGAAGCACCAGACCAGGAACTTGCAGGCACTCTCTACCCACTCGGACTTACTGATGAGCACGGCGGCGTACAGCAGCATGGGCAGCACCAGGGTCAAGAAATGCGCCAAAATCAACGAGAAGAGCAAGACATCGGGACTCTTCCAGCGCTTGCGCGTTGAGATGGCCAGAAGGCAGACCACATTCTCAAAGGCGATAGCGGGAATCACAATGATCCACACTATGGAGTTACCGTACAGAATTTGGTTGTACTCCTCTCTGCTCTCCCCCATTATTCCTCATGGATACTCTGGGCGGCTTGTTTACAACAAAGAAGTTCATTACCGGATGTCCTGATGCATGATGAGTGATGATCTGGAGTACCTCTGCAATTTAATTTGAAACAAGAATGAAACATCAGTTGGAAAAAAAAAAACACACTCAAAAAATCCCATTGGGGCTCTCTCAAATGTCACAATTCGTTGACACAAATCCAAATAAGTGTTTGCCAAATATAATTCCTAGATATTTTCTCCACAATTATTAAACGAACCGTAACGGGGGATTGTTGTTCTCTAAGCCGATGCGAGAAACCAAACAAGATGACATTTTGCCTGAATCTGATCACCTTGCATCAACCGCTCACAACGATTACAAAACAAGCACCAGTGCGATAACAACCCAACATCGCTCAGCCTCCAGCCTCGAGTCTTTGACGTGACGACAAAATTGTGTCAGCCACCCTCAGCAGAATATCGAAATCACACTTTTCACACGAGCTGCGAACAAAACACAGACCCGGCGCATTTGTAAAAGGTTTCCAAGGTGACGCAGTCTGACGTCACTGCGCTGCAAAAGTGTAGTCCCCGCTAACGGAGCAGCATTGTGTACGCCGAGAAAATGCAGAAAATATAGGATCCATTATTATAAATTGAACATCATCGAGGCTCAATGTGTCTCTGTCACTGTGACTCTGTTTTGATGAGCTTTTTTTCTCGAGTGCTGATGTCCACTGACAAGAGTGAATCGCTTCGTTTCGCTAGGGACTTACAGAATCAGTAACGCGTGGTGCATTTACGACTGGAAGCAGAGACAGGTAACGCATAGAGAAAATCGGTGTGCTGATGAAGTAGATATCAAAGTTGATAGGGCGACCCACCTCCATATCTACACGCACCATAAATTCACATCGGTCTCATCTGCATATTACGACTTACTCGTGCGTAATATGCACAAGGGAATGAAAACTGCCGTAATATGGAAAACATCTCGGATGTGTAAACACTTTATCTGCATATGTGACAGACAGAACTACAACACGTTACCTTCAAAGACTGCTCTTTTTTTTTTAAAAGAAAAAAAAAATCATTCTTCTCGAGTAAAGATTCACTCCCATCAATTTAAAGAAAAAAATCCATTCAATCGTTTAGATTAAAGTACGAGTTTCAACTGAATTACTATTTTTCCCCACGTATTTATATCTAACATTAGAGGGATTTTCACTCTATTTTACGTGCAATTACTTACACTCTTTCAAAGTTAGAGATAAGATTAATTAAATGCTTAATGTTTACAATGGTGACTTGAATTTTATGAACAATATCTACAAGCAAATTAATTTTTCTTTTGTTTAAATTTGAAAAAAAATGCCCAGAAGAGTAAGAAAGGGGAGTCTGTTAATTAAGTCAGCTTCGACTCGAATTCACGTCGAAACACAAAGAGAGAGCAAATCAGAGAGAAAAAGAACCATTTGTTTGCTGCATGAGAAGTCAATTGCTCATGAGTTTTGACTAGAAAACTGTCTGTTTCATAAAATAAACTTCTTCAAAAAATGTGCAGGCTTCTTAAGCGGTACAACGTATAATGTTTCATTCGCAAAAGATCATTCCTTTTATGAAATATTATTTCAAATATTATAATTTAAAAAAAGTTTACCATTCGTGGGAAAACGAAAGTCTTTTTGTATTATGTTTATATACGACAAGAGTGTATATTATTGTTAAAAGACCTATAGGCCTAGGCCCCTAAATGGAGAAAAAACCCTTCAAGCGAAGTGGTCATAAATTATTGTCTAAAATGTCAGTATTATCATCACGTAATCTGATGGGTATACGTACGAGCTTGCTAAAATCGAATTCATGGAAAAGTGCAAAAACAGGTACCACTTCGCTGCTTTCCGTTTGAATTTTATTCTGTCCAGTGTGCGGACGTGCACGGACGTCCCGCGACATCCAAATAAACAGTCGATGCACTGGAGAACTCTTTCTTTATTTTTGATATGACGATGACCGTCATCTGAGTGATTTTTTTTGAAATCCTCTTGTCGATAGGACTTAACCGTAATACGATACTCCGGTGGTAGACGGGGGCGAGAGAGCTTGTTTACCCGCTACACGCCAAGGCTTCCATATCCCCAGCAAGATCACGGCGGATCAACGTCAGTTTTGGAGCGCAAGAAGTGTTTTCTTGATGGCTACTGAATTTGACTCCCGTACCATTTAGAATGAATAATTGGAACTAAAATTGAAAATGCAAGGGGCAGAACGAAAAAAAATCACAACAATATGATCATAACTCCCACATAAAGCTTTTAGCAAAACAAAGTATAGGCCTTTTCAATCTTGATTTACAAATCAAGATGTATGGTAGAAAAACATATATTTAATAGGTTGACGCATAGCACACCTAAGGCCTCTGTTCAAAAACACAATCTCGAACGCACTACAGGGTGAGTAAACCCGAAACCCAAATGTCGGCACTATTGTTTTATTGAAGTTCTACATGTAACACTTTCAAAGTCTAGGATATGAAAGCTTTCTTTTGGTACAAAAATCATTCAAATGCACTTTTCAAGTTACGGAATTTTTAACACACCACCATCACAAAATAGGTTTGCGTTCTTTCATCAAAACGAAAACAGTTCACACACATCCCTATCTGACTTTTTTTCGTTTTGCTGAAAAAACACTGAACTTTTTTGTGATCCGTGGACAGAACCTTAAAACGGTGGTTGTGTTTAAAATTCTTTAACTTGAAAAGTACTTGAGTGATTTGAATGATTCTTTGTACTAAAAGAAAGCATATAAATTGGGCTTTCATATCCTAGATTTTGAAGTGCTACATGCAGAACTTCACTAAAACAATGGTCCCAACACTTTTTTTTTTTTTTTTTTTTTACTCACCCTGTATATGCACGTCTACTGTTAAAAAAGTGTTGATCTGTTTCAATTGGTATGAACCTCAAACCTCAAACTGTTGGTTAATTTGGGTAAACATTCATCAAAATTTCGTGTACGCAGTTGATATTTTGACAAACAATAGGCATGAAGAACAAATTGCCCATTTTTTGCAGGTTGTCTGACCAGATTCAAATGACGAACACGTTTGTTAAAAATTATCGACCAGTGTGTCTGATTATATCATTCTAGCCGCAATCAAAATGATGGAGGGGTTGTTATACGCTTAACCTATTTTCCAAGAGAACTACCTGTCTTGTTCAACAGGAACTTTTTTTATCAGTTGTTAGAAATAACTGACTACATGAAACCTATCATAAATATTTATCGAAAATATAAACGTTACAGGGCCTGGCATTTCGATCCTAGCAATTCTTCCTGAAATGCCAACATTTACCAGTTTCTCCTTTGCTTAAAGACTTGAATAGGGAGCTCACAAAATATTTTGTTGAAAAGTGGATCCATACACACATGAAAACAATACTTTTTTAAATACAACTTTGCAGGGCATAATACTGACCACAATGACATCAAGTGTACGCAAACCAATGTAAAACACCTGCCGAGCTGCACCGACCGCAAACGAGTTAACCTATGGTGACCGTAATCTGTTTTTAGCCTTAAGGAATTGTTCAATTCAATTCAAAATCACATGTATTTTCATACGTCCATTTGAAAAAATACACAGCATATACAACATTAGGGAACAGGACTGAAAACCTTACATTAATGTAAACTCAGTTCACTGTATAAGTCGAAAAAAAGGTATGGGCTGTTCTAGTAAGCCTAAATTATAGAGAACAGTTTGGTTTATATATTGATACGAATAAGACAGACATCAAACATAGGCCACAGAGACCCAAAAGATCAATAGAAAAGAGAGTAAGAAGACAAGCAAACGATAAACTGTAAAAGAAGAAAAAACTAAAAAAAACCCGAATACACGCCTTGTCCTACGAATTGTACCGAGGCAATGCAACTATTTACCCAGTAGAACTGAGACTGACACAAAGAGAAAATGTCACACACTTTAAAAGGTCTTAACAACACGAACCTGTTTTTGTTTTGTTTTCCTATCTCCCAACTGAAAATCTTCTTTCCATTCTGTTTTTAGTTGAATGAGATTTGAGATTTTTTTCTCACTTTCACTCGGGGGTATCACAGGAGTAGACAATTGTTTACACGTCGGTGAAGGGCAAAACCTAACATTGAATTTACATCACCCAGACGCAAATTCTATCTTATGAATAATTTGAATGCCGTTCCCGGAAAACAAAGTGGGCAATATCAAAAATGTGTTATTAACGTTTGTTGTTGATAATGAACAGGTAGCTAAGTCGGCTTTTTTTTTAAAATTAGGGATCAGATCAAAATTTGATACCGATATTCTGAATTGCCTTGCAAATTAAAATATAAAGAAATACAGAACAAACGTGAATTTTTATGGCTGGCTCGTATTCCAAAGATTGTCTCTACGTGAAGTGCAGAACAAAAGAAATAACTCACAAGAGTATTCCCAAACTGGAAAGGAAAAGTGTGTAACAAGTAAATATATTGTACAATTTACAATGAACGGTATCTATACCAAACGTAGTGTTAAAATAGTTAACTATAGGTAGCGAACCGTGTTAAAATAACACTATTGTTTTCTGCAGCGGAATAATTGTGTCTGTAACTTAAAGTACAGGGTGAGTCAGAATGATCTGGACCCAAATTAAAGAAAAAATTAAAAATATGTAGTAATTATCAAAACAAAGGCAAATGGGAGATGTGGTAGGCTGGTGTTTTGGACATAATTGTGGTGAAAGTTTCATGTATATCCATTGTACCCTTCAGAAGAAAAGCGCTAACAAAGAGCACACGCTAAAAATCGCATACTGATGTGACTGCATTTCAAACAATGCAGTCACATCAACACGCGATTTCAATACATTTGAATAAGTTACAAAGTATTACGTTAGAATACCGAAAACATTATAATTTTTCAAGGCTGCCTCAGAACCCTAATTGTTGTTGCCACATTGTCTCCGTCGGTGAGGTTTTGTATTAAATTGACCGGGCGGTTTGCCCTTGGCAAGCACATCGGGTGAACGTGCATCACTCGTGCAATCTCCTTTCAAACAGTTCAAGCAGCATCGGCGAAAAAGCCA